CTCTATTCCCTCATCTAGGTCATTTATGAATCCCTATCAAAAAAAATAATTAACTTAAATGTATAATTTAAATAATACATTAGAACTGAAATCATCAGTAATTTTGTACTGTAGCTAACAGCTGTGACAACAAAGTGGTCTAGTTAGCATAACAGGCAGACTGAACAATTCAATCCAAAAACTTCCAAATGCGTATAACACAAATTCTGAGTTATCTAATCTGAGACAGAGCAAAGAAAGTATATCATGGATGCTATTAAATTAAGATTTGACAGCAAATCAAATTTACTGTGGATAACAAACAAAGTTATTTTTAACTGAAATATTTTCTAATTTGTTTCAACTGCTATGAACACCGGTAAGAGGAAATTTATTTACCAATTATAGGGGTAATCTGTTCGAAAGCTTGAATTGCATTATTCATATCCACTTTAAAACCTTGCCTCATTCAGTGACTATTTTCTTAGTGTGCCAGGTAGGATTTGCTAGTAAAATATTGACAATTCATTTCATATAGCAATGATTAGGCTGTACTAGCAAAAGAATCAGGAAACCAAGAACAGTACCACTTAGAACAGCAGAGGTAAGCATGCTGACATATCCAACTGGAAAGCAAAATCAATTCTCCTATCAGGAAATTTATTTTTGTCCTATGTGACTCTGTTGCTCCTGGACTAAAAGCGAAATCATTTGGAGTTTCCCTAAATCAGAAAGTCGCATCAGCATCACTGCAATTTTGGGTGGAGGGAGGTAAAAACTCTCCCTCCTGTTGAGCTAACAAATTGTAGTGGCTTCACTTTTTTGGCTTGCAGCCAAACACAGTCACCGTCTCCCTCTCCGGCCACGGAGTAAGGGAGAGAATTGGAAAGGTGAAAGTAAGAGAACTCACAAGCTGAAATAAAAACAATTTACTAATTAAAATTAAATGATACTGATAATAACAGAATATACAAATGAGTGATGCACAGTGCAATTGCTCACCACCCATCAACTAATGACCAGCCCGTCCCAGCCAGCGATCCCGGAGCAGAGAGCCCTGAAACCCAAACCCCGGAAAAGCGAGCCCGACCGAATACCCCCATTTTCCAGTCAGCCCTGGTTAATAAACTGACACAACAGGATACGATATGGAATATTTCATTGGCACATCCAAATGCCAATTTTCAGTTTTGCTACTCACTACACTTCTCCCTCCCAGTCCTAATGCAGCTGTGAACCAGCCAAACATGATGACCTTGAGCTCCAGCAGAAACTAATAACATTAGTACTTTATTAACATTCTTCTCATAACAAATACCATACTGAACTTAAAACACACCTATTCTATCTACTCAGAAGAAAATTAACTCTATCCTAGCAAAACCAGAACACAAATCTTTGCAAAAATTGAACTGAAAACCTATTTCAGATATCAACATCATAAGTAACTATTTCAGCAAACGTGGAAAAAGAGAGAGCAAGTACACATCAGGGAGGAAGCAGCAGGAAGCTGATTTTTCTCCCAGGCAAACCAAGTCCAAGAGACTCCTTTCCAGCACAAAATTTCCAAATATACATTTGTTATATGTTTTTGTATGTTATGCATCTTTTTCAAAATTTTCTTTCAAATAAAAGAAAAGATAATCTTAACAAAAGTATGAACTAAAACTTACAGACAAAAACCTGAGCATGGGAAATAGACAAAAATGTTTATTCACTTCCAATAAAATACTGGAACTTTTCACAGAAATTCAATGCACACAATCCTCCCTAAGCATTTCAGCAGTCAGACTGAAAAGCTATTTTATCATAAGAAGTATATCCAAAACATCCACTTAAAGTCTAAAGAAGCATGATGTTATGTTGACAGATGCAAACCCAAGTTTTGAGGTTTTTTTCCTTCCATGCTAAAGGAAAGAAAGGATCAATAATTAAAGCAGGGTGTGCAACTTCCCAGTAAAGAGTTCTCTCAGGACAAAACCAGGGGAAAACAGTTCATGTTAGAAGGATGGATACTTTATATAAATCTACTCATGGTACACATGAGGGTTTTGTCATGGTTTTGTGAACTACACACAGATCCAAAACAGAGGAAAACAACTTCAAATTAGATCTTATTTTTACAGTCTGCATATCGTAGATGGAAATACATGCTTTTATCCACACAGTTATTAAAAAAATGAAATAAAATAAAATAAGAGTATTTTGTGTAAACGCCTTTAGCTCTTCAGTGATTCCTAACATATTCTGTGAGGAATTTCACAAACTGGTCACTGAAGGGCATCTATACGTTGCATGTAAATTTCTGTGGTCTTTAAATCAGTTCTTTGCCACTGAGGCTAGACTGACTCCAGTATCTAAGTTATCTTATTCACAGAAAATAACACAAACCTTTTTCTTCCCTGTAGAAAGGGGCTACCATTCACTAACTTCTTCCTGTATGGCAGTATGTGTAAGACATTTTAGAGGAAACTCCACTGTGTGGTGGAAGAGGTATTCAACATTCACAGCATCAATGAAAACAACAGACATTTGATAAAACAGTTTTCTCTCTGTAGAACTACAGCCACTAGGCAACAGGCTGCCCTGCAATCCAGCAAAGCAAACAACCCCTACAGGGCAGGGAACACTGCCACAAAAGGGAAGACTCACTCATATGTAGCTACCAAACTTTGCTAATTAATATTATTCTCATTAGAGTAAAATCAGCTGCTGCTGCTTTGGGAGACACAGTCCATGTACAACATTAACGCCAATTATATTAAATGTAGTCAGAATTTACTGTCCTAGAGACGAAAAAAAGTTCAAGAAAGTGGAAAACAGTGAGGAAAAATATGGTACAGAAATAAAGGTCAAGCTTTTATTCCCAGTTCGGTCACCAGATGTTGATGACATGAGGGAAGTCATCTCACCATGTGTCCCAAAAAGGCTGAATTTTAAAACAGATTTAAAACTGCTTACAGAGCTCTGAAATACATTGAAAAGTGACATACTTTCCTACGAAACAGTTAAGTAGCTTTAGGAGAAGGTAGCACTGTTAAATACATCCACACATATATAAAAACCCTTACCTTCTCCAGGACTGACTGCAGATGGTAGACTGGTCCAGTCCAGGGTCCAACTGGGACATGGATGAGGAGAAAATTTTGCTTCGATACCATTTTCCTATGTGAAAGGGAAAAAATTGTGAAAAAAATTAAGACCCTGATCCTTTACCCACTGAAGCTGGTAGCAAAATTGCCCCTGAATTTAATGGCGTAAGATCAAACTTTGCAACACTTTCAGCGTAACTGAAATTAAACAGGCAGCTGACTCTACATTATATGGGATTCCAATTATGTATTTCTCTCATTTTCACAAGAAAGCCCTGCTAATTTTTGTTAGGAAATGCTGTCAGCCTCTATGCAAAAAATACTGAGAGGTATGGAACATGATGGAGAGTTTTCTTTAACAAAACTCATTAGGTTTCCCAGATGTTCAAAGCTCTAATCAAACAGTAAGAAACCAACAGAAATGATCGCATAATGAAGCCAAACATAAAAGCAATGGTTTTTGTCACCCTTTATATAGATATCTTTAAAAGAGAAATACAATATTGCAATTCAAATGAAAAGTTACTTTGATGATTCAGAATTATCGATAAGGCTTCCAGCAGTCCTATCTTTGCTCAGTTCTTGAACTGATCAAACATCATAACAGAACAAAAAAGCAAAATCACTTCGAAGTCAATGCATAGCAGACAGAAGACGAGCAAAATGTATTAAAATGTTCAAGGCTGTCAGACTTAGCTTCTGCAATTCTAATAAATGTCACCTATTCCAAATCAAATAGAACATTACTATTAAAAATAACTCATTAAAAAGCTTAAATTACCTTTAACTTAGTCATAGTTGGCCTTGGACCACCTATAAAATTACTATCTTCATTCTCCTCTTCTACTTCATCAGGAACTGAAGAGAGGTCTTGTAGCTCGTCCTCTGGAGCAGACATCAGCTCTGGAAGCTGGAGAAGCTCCATATTGCATTTCCCAGCAGCTTTCTTTACTCCAGGTACTTCCTGAACTCTTTGATACCAACTGGATATCAGAGGCAAATTGACCAGATTTTTGCCTTGCTTTTTGCTGTAAACCTAGAAAAATAAAACAGAAAAGTTACTTGCTACTGCTCATTTCTTCCTATAAGCCACAAGAAGGCAAGAACTACAAAAGTAAGCTCAGCTCCATGCCAAGCATGCTTACCCATCTCATGATGCTAATACAAAAAGCGAGTTAGTTAACAGCTCAGGCTTCCAGGTGGAAGAGCCAGGTGGCCATTTAGACTTTATCTGTAATTCCCATTTGCTTAAGGAGAAAAGTTTACCTGACCAATTTCAATCCTAATGTCAGGCAGTAACAGGAAAACACAATTTAAATAATATTCTTAATTATCTGTTATTTCCTAACAACAGAATGATTCATTTTGGTTGGTAACCAAAAACCAAAAAACCACAAACCCACCAACCAAGCAAAAAAAACCAAACAAACCTCAACCAAAGACACGCACCAAAAAGCAAAAAGTCATTTGCAATGAATACTGAACTCTAAGGAAGATACTTGGTACCTGAATGCTCTTCCCTCCTGCAAGCACCCTGCAGCCCTTAAAAGCTCATCCACTGACAGCTGTTTTGCTGGCAACTAAAAGCCTGAAATACCTTTGACTACGTTGTAACAGCAAAACAGGCACAGGCGTACACTGTCCCATAGTCTTTATTGATGTTTCTGCACTACATCTGTGAGTCTTTTTTTTTTTTTTAACTAGTACTGAATCTAATTTTTTTTTATCATATATTTACTCAAACTTTTTTATTATCTTAAATTCATATTTTTATATCAACATGGTAACCAGTACATTCCTTCTCTAAATATACATGATGGTGAGATTAAGTGGCCTTTAATACAAATTATAATTTTAAGTGTAAAATAAAAAAAATTCTTAAGACAATGCACATATTATAAAGAAGATACACAAATCAAATTTTTACATGAAGACTAGCTAATTTTTAAAATTAGCTAGTGCTAATTTTGGTGCATTTGGTGAACTGAAGTAATTTTTGCTCAGGTTCCTAAATGTTTTAGAACAGTAAAGATCACCCTCTTACAGGAGAGACTGTGAATTCTCCATCCTTAGAGACACTCAAAATCTGAGTGGACATGACCCTGGGCAACCGGTTCTGCTCTGAGCAGCAGAGTTAAAACAAGGTGATCTACAGAGGTGCCCTTCAACTCCAACTATTCCAACCTCAATTATTCCATTACGCTGTGCCTGCTTTAAGCAGAACATTAAAAATCAGGATTCCAGGAAAAGGAAGGCCATGCAAAAACCTGCACGTATCTGTCCTCAGCGTGGAAATAGGAATTGGTAAAAAACACTTGAAATGACACAAAATTTCAAGCAGCTTTCTTGCATGCTGTGTTTATAATGTTCTTAAGGTAATCACAAGTAATTCATAATAGCTAAAGGAGCAAAAGGAGGATGAACTGTGTAATTTCAGTATCTAATTCAATATCCTAATAATAACACAGGCAGAAATACATTAATTCCATTAAGGAAGAAGTATTTTGGAAAGCAATTCTAAGAGGAACTGTTACACTTGATAACAAGAGTTCTAAATTGTAAAAGTGAGTAGTGGTTTCTCCCAGATGGAGAACAGAGCTTTTGTTACTCTTCTATTAATGTTAAACAGTTACAAGCAATAGAAAGCATAAAAAGCTAACCTCAGAAGATAACAGAAATGGAATGAGGTAATGAGAAAGAACTCTTCAGCTTTATTATCTTACTTTTGGTAATTATAATTACAATCAGTTAGTCAGGTCTCCTCATATTTATTGTATGATACTTTCCAGACACATACCCATTGAAAGCTTCATTATTATTTACACTCTAAAGCAAAGTGGCAATGCAACTATAATGATTTTTTTTTTTTAAACCTAATCCAGGAAGTCCAGTTAAGTGATAAATAACATTTTAATACAGAATTAAACTCTGGCACTTCCATCAACAAAAGCTGTTTCAACCCACTGCCTGCAAGAAGCCTTCACGTGCAAGTTATTAAATTTGGATGACAACTGTAGGAATCAAGGTATAATTACTTAGAAAACTGATCATTCACCAGAGAATAGAAATAAAGCAACATTACTCCCAGAGCTCTTATAATGTAAGTAAAAATGAAACCGAAAGCCAGTTTTTTAGGAAAATCCTTGGTGTGAGTTAACAAAAGCTTATTATATGATGTATCGTTCATAAGCAGCAGACCAGCAGGGCTCAAGGGTCACATATGAAAAGCAAATAAATACAGCACTCTCAGCTGCTCATGGTACATCTACAGAACGATTTCAACTGGATTGCTGAAATCAATTAAGCATCTGATCCGTAAATCTTCTCATGCCTAGTACCAGTAAATTGAATGTTACTGTAAAAAGTTAGGCCTTGAAAAAACAAAGATGACTGAAATACAATAATGTTTTTAAAAGAGTAGGAAAGCATTTTGTCTGACTACTTCGCTTTAGTATCATTCACACAGAAGTTGCTGTTAATTCTCAGTCATGTGATTTGCAAAACGAACAAAGCAGCAATGAACTGATAACCTTTTCTGTAAAATAACTCATCATCTTAATTCAAAGGTAGCCATCTGAACCTACTTTTGGACTCCCATATTGCTATCATCACACAGAAGTCCACTGTAGATTATGATCTTGGTTAAAGACGTTATAAATCTGACATCTGTCAAGTATTAATGTTTATTAGTAATTATCTTGATTTTAGAGATCATTTCTCTGAATCTGACTGACAGCATCTTCTCCAGGAATTTCATTTGTTTTCAGACACCATAAGGCAAATTTGGCAAAACAACCTGCAAAATCGAAATGCAAATACCATCTTCACTTGAGCTCTTCCTGGCAACACACACCAGCTTAGCTATCAATCTCACAGAGTAATTGCAGGAATACTGGTAGTAGGCAACCTCATTGTATCATTTTATTGTCATAGGAAATAAAGTTACAGTTGTCATTTCCTTTATTCTTTTATGTGTATGCTTCCTCATAATACTAAGTACACAGATTGTGCTGAGCAAGACTCTCATACAGACTTGCCACAGAAGTTTTTCCCACTGTAAAATTAGTTCTGAAGCTGAGCTCAAGTCACTGGCATTATTAAGCCCTACTGCTTTCCAGAGGTGAGAAAAGGTTAGACGTAGAAGGGGGGAATCAGGAAGGTGTTAAAAAAAAAAGTAAGTAAAAATATCAAATTGCATGGCTTTATTAGGCTCAAAACATATTTTGATATATTTTCCTAATACAGATGTTAAGATATTTGTACAACAGAATATGCAAGACACTGGCACTTACTAGATAAATGCTATAAAAAAAACAATAAACACATTCTCAGATCCAGGTAAATTTTGTACAAATTGAAAGATCTGATTCAATAACCAAGTGACTAAGACTCTCCCTAAAAGAGAGGTGAAATAAGCTTTTAGTAGAGCATTGATCTAAAGGTACAGAGACATGAATATTTTACTGATTCAAATTACAGTCAAGTTGACATAACCAATAGCCTGGCAAACTACATCGTGGAGTGCAGGAACTTCTCAAATGAGCTCTGCCACTTGTGACAGTGTTTCTGTAATGACATTCTATGTCAAGGAGCAAAGACTTATTCCCCAGTTTTCCACACTCCATGTGGTGCCCTGACTGCCAGCTGTGTCAGTGTTTTTCCTGTTTTATCTTGGTGAAACTCTTTGAAGGTTTCAAATTCCTCCATACACAGACTGGGAGACCTTTTGAGATCTCTAAACACATGACAAGACATAAAATAGTCCTACACTCAGAATGAAATTTTGCATATACCCACTATATACAGTGTCCATATTATTTGCTAGCACACACTGTTATTCCTCATTGTATTGTGAAGGAAAAAGACCAGGATAAAGACAAATGAAAACAGCCCACTGCTGTTTGTCCAGGATTGGGAACATGCTAGGTTGACTGCAAAGGAAAAGAGACAAAGGCATCTTTGAATAGACCACACTCTTGGCATTTTCAAAATACTTGCACAATCTGACAGGAAAACATTTAACTCCCCTAAGGGCAAGTGTGGACTTTCTATCACTATGTTATAGGACCATACAGGTAAGACAAGATTCTATTAGAAAAAAAAAATTAAGCAGCCAATCTGATATGACTGCAAGGTGAATCATATTTTTTCAGTTATAAGCTTCATTCCAAGAGCTTCTAGTAACGTAACCTTTTCCAAGAAACTTCTCCTTTCACTGCAGTAAATAAAAGACCTTCCACAAACTGGAAAACAGTTTAGTAGTAACAATACTACGAATGACAAAACTACAGATTACTGAAGTTTCAGGGGCCAAAGCACATCCCAGAGCAGCTGGCTCCCTAGACACAATACCTCATTTCTGAGTAGTGATCAGTCCTTGCTTGAAGAAGAATAAAGATTCAGTTTTATAAAAATAAAACTGCACAGAAGAATAAAAGGTTTGCTGATAATATAGGTACTGTGCTGTCTTAGATGCCTATCTTTATCTAGAAATATGCAATGAAACTGGCTTATTTTGTGGGAAGGCTTGATAAAAGGTATCCATTTGAGACGGACTAAAGCTGGGTTGGCTACACAGGAGTGTTTCCTCCCAAAGAAGTCATTTCTAGGAACTAGAAGAAACCAACAGCAGAGATTAAGAATAACTAACCTATTATAAGGAGAAATAAGCAAATTGGAAGTCACAGTGCACTGTCTTTTAAAAAAAAAAATCTGTACACAAAAAAAAAAAAAAAATTCTCAAGAGAATCTCATGAAATGACATACCAGCAGCATAAACAAGGGAGCTTTTGGAAGTCTTCCCCTAGTCAACACCCACCTCTCCAGCTCTAGTATGCGTACGGCGAGTCAAGGATTTACACCTCTAAAAAGCCACCATAGTCCCTGAATATCTCTCTCTCTCCATTCACTGCCTCCCAAAAAGGCTTTCTTACTTTCCAAGAAGGTACTTGTTTTCTTTTAGACATATCTGCCCATGTCAGGATAAAATTACATAGAGCTTCAAGTCTTCACTGAAAAGAATTCCAATTCAGATAATATCCATGTAGTAAAGGTACAACAAACTGGGCAGTAATTAATTTTGCCTCGCCCCCAGAATACAATGAAACCAAAATTTAAATAGGTTCATGCTTACCTACTTTTCTTCTATGCCTATTACAATGTACCTTAAGTACCCATTTTATATCTCTCATGGGGGACATCCCTTATAGCATTTTAAAATTATTATTCTATTGTCAACTCTCCCCCTTTTTAAAATTTGCAATTTATGATGGAATCAAGATTCCAAATCTCAAAAAATACCTCATGGATAACGTTATCTCATTGAAGTAAATATCCACTGAGTCACGGTCATAAATCCAGTACACTAATTTCAAGCAGGAAAATAGGTTCGTGCTTACCTTCTTTTGCTTTATGCATATTAGAATGTACTTTAAGTGTCCATTTTAAGTATTTTCATGGAGGAATTTTCTGGGCAACTTGGTGTCAAAACATTTCAGCACAGTATTTTAACAGTTAACAGTGTTTACTAAGTATTGATATGCTATGTATTTAAAAGCCATTTTGATGATCTCATCAATCCCTGTTTTTTGTTTATACAAAAACAAAGACAAATCTTCTGGTTCAGATTAAGTTCACACTGGAAATGCCACAATATATTTTAAATTAACACATTTTACAACTTTGCAGTTCTTAAAAAAAACCATACACTACTTAATATTTACAGAACCTGTCATCTTACCAAGAACTGATGGATGCATGGGAAAAGCACTATATCTGCCAAGGTAAAATAAAGCCCTTCTGCAAAAACGTGGTCCAAAAGTGGCAGATCAGAGGTTTTCATTCTCCTGATGTGAGAGGCCTCCCTGTTGACTGCATCTGATACCTCCTGGACAAGTAGCTTGGAGAAAGCTATGCTCAGTTCCAAACTTGGGAGTGGATGCTCATGTATTTCCACTGTTTTTCCTTCCTCTGTTGCTTCTTTACCAAATACAGGCACTGCAGCCTTGGCACCTGCCTTCTGTTGTTGAAGTTTTTGCCTTCGAATTTTGTCATCATTATGTACTCGGACAGGTTCTCCAAGCTTCCTTTCAAGCTGTAAAATGTCAGGAGGAATAGTGTGACAGTGCTCAGGAGACGCTGTCAAAAATCCTTCAACAGCCAGAGGTATGCTGATCTCACAAAGTCTGGTCCACTGGCTAACCTGTCAGATAAATTTATATAATTAGTGTCTATAGAAAGAGAAGCAAAATCCATGGTACCTTTTTGTATACTTTAAGTAAAGAAATTACAGTAAAAGGTGGTAACTCCAGCTTTTAATAAATTCTTTGATAATCTTAGAAGTTCAAGTGTTTGGTATTACTTTTGCAACAGCAGAATTAGGAAGCTAAATTTTATATAAAACAGAAAGAACAGTTACCCAGTATAGCATATTTTCATTCCTTATTATTGGCTTAAGATTAGGGTGGCTGCATAACTAATGAGAAGCAAAGCTATGATCAATTTATATCTGTCATCTCTACCAAGTGCTGGTAATAAAACCAGAAGATTACACCAAATAGATTTTGAGCACATTTATTTTACATAAATGCATTATATTATTAATGGTTTTTCAGCATGCAACATCAAAAAAACTTTAATTTAACTGAACACCACCTTAAAAAAAATTACTTATATTTTTCATCTTCTTACCCTTGTCCTCTTTTTCTTATTATTTGTACTTACAGGTCCTATAACTTTTCAACTCTTGTCTTTTCTTATTCAGTTTACTCATTTTGCAGCCATCTGAAACATGGAATCAAGTCTTCCAGTAGTTCTAAGAAGAGATTAGAACCAGAGGTTTCTGGAGGATGTTGGGGACAATTTCTTTATGCTAGCGCTAGATGGACGAACACAAAGATATGCTTCCCCAGATCTGCTACTCACCAGCAGGGATAAATTGAGTTGGAGGCACAGGAATCAATGGCAACCATGGATGTAGCAACCATGAGATAGTGGAATTCAACCTCCTGAGAGGAGCAAGGCAAGTCTGTTTGGATGAACTGCCAGATGAGTAAGCTGCTATCCGACAAATGGGCTGAAGTATCAGCTCAAAGGGTTGTAGTGGTTAATGGTTCACACTCTACCTGAAGGTCAGTTAGAAGTGGAGTTTTTTAGGGGTCTGTGCTGAGGCCTATCCTATTTATCACTCCCAATGACCTTGAGGGGAAGATGGAATACACGTACATCAAGGATGACACTGAGTTGAGTTGAGTGGAGCAGTCAATAAACTCCAAGAAAGGGCTGCCTCTCCAGGCTCGAGAATGGGCTGACAGGAACTTCCCGAAACTCCGTGAAACTTCCCGCATCTAGGACAGACTAAAGCCCTGCAAGGTTACAGGCTGGGGACTGACTACCTGGCCAGGCAGCAGCTCTGCTGAAAAGACTATGGACATCTCGGTGAGCATAAGCTAAACATAAGCCAGCAGCGTGCCTTGGCAGTGACAAAGGCTAACAGTACATGGTGCTCTTGAAATCAAAATTAACAATAAATTAGGTATTCCTTAGTTTACTTCAAACTGGGAGAGTTCATAACTCATTGAAACTATACTGCTTGACATGAAACAAAGATCTGAACCTTTTTTTTGAATCTTAAGGTTCTTTTTGTGCTGATAAAAAGTAGTATTTTTAAAAAGAATAATTTTTCATCTTTATTCCAAAATACAGATATTTCTCCATTAAGGAAATTTCATTTTCTAAGCAAATTAAGTTTCTTACTAAAAGAATATTATGAGTCTACTTCAGAGTACTTATTTGTTATAAACAATTCTATTAAAGTATCTAAGAGAAAGAGATGCACTCACTTCAGCACAGGCTTTTAAGCAGGTCTTCTTAAAGCCTAAGAGTTCCAAAACATCCTTTTTGGATGGATCTGCCTCATATGTTTTCTGGATTATATGCCTTAAGACAACGGAAAGCCCAGCTCGGCAGAACTTGCCATCTCTCACGACAACAGCAGGTAAACAACAGCTCTGCACAACCAGTGGAAGCTGACATCTGGAGATTAAATGGACCTCAAGATCACCAATGAGGTTTTTTCGGATAAACTGATCATCCACATTTTCACCAGTCGGCACTAAGAAAATTTTGAATAATTTGCAGTCACAGTAGGATAGCAAAAACAGTGAAATAGATGTATGAAGAGGAAAGATACTATCTCTGTACTGATGAGAGAAACTCAAATATAAATGTTCTTCAGTGACACTATCTTTCATCTTCTTCCTGAGCTGAAGTTCCTGAAATAGAAATCAGAACACAACGTTCATAAAAGGATACAGAATTTAGAACAAAAAAAGAGGGTTTGAAACAGTGGTCCTTCCACTATCTGCTGAAACTGATTTTAACATAAGACACTATTAAAGACATCTTCCCTGAATAAGTGGACTGCAAGTCCTTCTTGAGAGAAAAGAATGGTTTTACATATACAACCTCTTCACATAGCAATCACTGATAGGGAAATTATCCGTCTAAAAGGTTTTTTTTTACACTTTAGCATATTTCTGACATTAAACAGAATATACAAAACCAAAAGAAAGTATTTCCTTTTAATTTTTTTAGTTCGTAAACATTTTATAGCAAGGCTTTAAAAAAAATAAAATCAATAATCTCGCATCACATTAACTAGTAAGTTCCTGAGCACATATCTACAATAGCCAGTTTCCTAATGCATACATTTGTCTTTCTGCAACTGTTAGAAGGCATATACATATATATATATATAGGGTATTTAGGCCATAGGAAATTATAGTGGTTTCTGTATTAAAAATTAATCTAGAGACTGGCAAGACACTAACTGAAGGTCAAGAGAACACAGAAGAAGAAAAAAAGTTCATCTCAAGAGCGCTACTGGAACAATTCAAACGCACATCTAGTTTAAAGCAGTTAAATACAACAGTAACATAGCTGAAATTAATGTCTTCTCATTATATTAAAAACTTAATTTCATTTCCCCTATACTTGGTTGAAAATTACATTTTTCCTATTAAACTATTCCATACCAGTTTAATATAAAGCAATGATGCAGTAATTTTTCTGCTCCATCACTCAATAAAATTGCCTATTAACTTATAAATCACAACTCGTACTGAAAAGCTGTAGACACTAGATGGCACTCTTAAAACAATCATTATAGAAGAAAGCTTTATTGTAATAAGAGAAATAAATCTGAATGTTGCTAAGAAAGGCCAGTATGGTTTTTTATATACTTTTATATACATATATATATAAAGCAAAGTGACACTGGAACAGTCTTTCCAATAAGTGTCTAGATTAATAAGATCTCTGTACAGTTACATGACTATGATGTAATTATTTAAAAAGCAGAAAAGGTTTTCATTTGATATAACTAGATTATTGGATTTTTTTTCATGTAGATGTATATATCAAATTTACTATTTTATATCATCTATCACTGGGCCAAATCAATTGTCCAAAAAGAGGCAGTGGAAGAATAAAATCAAGTCCATCTGACATTAAGTAAATATTATAATGATTGTTATAGTGGAGTATTTTTAATCCACTACATTACATGACCTTGTCTCAGAACAACAGTGGCTCAACACAATAGTACTGTTGCTTTTCTTTAATTAATACACCTGCGACACAAAGAATAGTACAATACATAACAAAATACCTACTTTCCTAAAAGCTATTTTATTTGGATAAATCTTGACAGCGTATAAATTGAGACAGATTCAATATCGTAAGTATAGCTCTGTGGAAGAAACTCTATGGTGAAGGTATTGTTGAGGAGATTAGTCAAGAAGAGCTAGTCTTACCTGCTAACTCCACAGTTCCTAGCATTTACACTCATACCCTCAACTACAGTACTTCTTTCAATATTTAACAGTACCCTCACATGCATTTGGGTTGGCTTTATTTGCCATGGGAACCCATTGGGCATGCAACCCCACCTTTTCCTGGCCACTCTAGCCACTCAGAAATACACATTCACCTTACATATCACTTCACCACTGAATTTTTCCTTCTGGGTGACCTTACTGGACATCATCAGGTTTTTTTGGTCATTATCACGCTGTACAGAACTACTAAATATTTTGTCAAATTCTGAAGAGGCTTCTATTTCTAAAGTTTACTATTCTGTAGTTTCCATCTGTTAATCACCTTTTCTTACAAATTATTCCAAATCCACCACTCAGGACTGCACAAGTAAAACATGTGATTTTCACCACACATACTCTCAATAGGTACACTGGCCCTTGCCCATTTTTATCCAGAGCAGCAGCTCTGAAATACTGTTACCCCACAGAGGACAATATATCATTAGACTAAAAATAAATGCTTCAAAAACTCCCAAATAGAGGTACTACTTAATGAGGCTACTGATTAAAATTACAAAAATGTCCTGCTATGAAAACTGGTAGATGAAAGGGTAAACACCATCAATATGAATTCTCCTCCAATCTGTTGGACAAAATTACCCAGTAGCAATGAGTAACAACAGATAGCAGCCGTCAGTCAGTCCCAGAGACAGGAACTGATGGGAAATAATGACCTGTTGGTTACTGGTCTGCTCTGGATTCAACTCCGTAAATGCCACAGCTGACACTATCCTATTAATCCGTGTCCTTGAAGTTTGAAATTTGTCTGGTCAAATTCAACTACTCTTATCCTCTGGGATACAACTATCACAGAAGTCACACAAACCAGACAAACCAATACAAGGATCTTGCTGAAGCAGGATAAGCAGATGCTGTCCAGAGCTACCCCACTCCATTCTCTGACAGTGTCAGAAAATGGGAAGATGCATGAAGCCTACTTTATTTAGTCCATAGCATCTTCATTTAAAGTCACATCCCTCAATCATTTTAAGCAAGCCTCTAGATTTTGCACTGAAGCAAAGGTACACTCCAGAAAGGTCTGTTCTTCTAAATGCCTTGAAGAGAGAATCTCTGGGACAGCTGGGCCAGACAGCTTGAGGGTGGTTACTAACTTCTTCAAAACTCAACGTAATTTTTTTGTGAACATATACAGTAATTTACCACTACTCAGCTGCAACATAGTGAACTATACCAGAGAGACTGAATTATTTTTCTCAACCTAAATGAACTTCTACAAAGACAGAAAGAACACAGAAAAAGTGACATTCATTATCTACTTACACAGTAGCACTGTACTCACACTGTAAAATCAGCACATTTTGCAGAACTGATTGAGAAAAAAAAGATTTTGAGGAGGGGAGGAAGGAAAAGCCAAGACTCTTCTGCCTCAGCCAGAGCAGTAAATTAATGTCCTTCAGCATGTAGCCGCAAAAGTGCCCATGCAAGGGACATGGCAAAAATGTGCAACTGCAGGTGACAGAGAGCCCAGGAAATTAGTTGCTTTGACAGTGGTTCAGACCTAGATAGCAGCAGCTGGTCTTGGTACAACACCCTGAATCAGCTCAGTACCCTATAGTCCCACAACTTGTCAGTTATACCTCCTCCACAGAGCCAGTTCAGAATCCAGTTTGGCTCTTTATTGTACTCTCCTTCCTCAGGTAAAGCCACCTCACACAGGTTTGGCAGTGCTTAAAATAAGCTTAGAGAGAGCTAAGAGAGAGGTTCTCCCTTAAGGCTGTCCAGTACCTCACAAGTTACTGTACTCAGTGGCTAGCAGTCCTCCAGTACCTGTCTGTAACTATCTACTCATGAGCCCAAAACAAAAAAGTTCTCCAGTAACTCTCCACAGAATTGTACAATTCACCTTCATGAAGCACAAAGAACCAGTGAACAGGTCTACAGGAGGTACACATAATGCTCAGTATGATTTGAAGTTCAGTTGCTCAAACACAGGTAGGTGTATTAACCCCGAAATAAAAACAGAGCTTTCATTTCTCATTGACAAGCATCTCAGAGCTCTTAGTGAAGTTGCAATATCTGCTGCTGAATTTCCTGATACATATATATAAAAAAATGTTTACATTTTCTTCTAGTTGGATAGGCAGTTATTTTTAATAAGTTTCCCAGAAGCTAGATTGTCCTCTAGCTAGGTTTTGTACACAGACTGTAATTGCATTTATCCCCAAAAGCAACAAATTTTAAATATTACTCACTCATAGAGCATCCATTAGCTACTCAGACTTTTTTTATGTTTTTAAAGTATCATAAAAAATTTTAGAGGAGGATTCTCATATCAAGGTGAGGGGAAAGAGAAGTGTTAAGTTAAGGCAGCTGTTCTAATTAATTAGACTACCCCTGCACGGGAGAAGGGGAAATCCAAAGATGAAAATTATGGTCAATATTATGAGAACGTCCTTTTCAAAGAATCACCTAAACAGTGACAGTACCAACACAGCAACAATTAATCATCCCAGTTAGTAATTCTGAAACAAATAGAAATGAACTGTAAATTGCTAATTTCTGAAAAAAGCACAAGCAACTAGTATCCATAAATTATTTCCAAACCAATCTATCATTTAATCATTTATATGACAGTGATTCATTTTGGTTCGTACAGGCAATCAGATCTCTCTCAACTAAAGGTTCTGATCCTGCAAGCACTCGTATTACCTGACCTAAAGGTTTCTTTGCAATATACCATCCCATTATTTTCAAATACAGTCCCAAATTCTTCTCATATAGTATACTACTACTATTTTTCCTACTAAAGTCCCTTTCTCTTCTCAAAATTGCAGTGCTACAACATTGAAATTGGTTTCCTAGAACTGTGCTCCCTGTTATGCTACTGATATGGTCAATTTAGACCTGAGTTACTGTGTGGAGTGGAACAAATTATATTCTTAATTAAGGTCAATTTAGAACAATGATACTTTTCTGTTTCTGTAGCTAACCTTCAAGGGATGAAAGGATGAGCTTCACTCAGCAGGAAAGAAATGTTGCACTTAAAGCTCCTGTTTGCATCTTACAGTTGTTTCTCTCCTCCTTTGCTATGCCCAGCATGGTGGTCCAGGGATACATCTCCTTTGCAGTCACCAAAGAACTTGCATCAAAATTCCAAGGAAGCCTGAGCCAATATGTTAAACTATGTACCTTTAAATTTGTGATAATTCAGGCACAAATATCAAACTAAGTGTTTTCAAAACTCTTTAACTATTGACTTAATTAAGGTTAAAATTCACTTGTCAATTTGCTCATGTTTGCTCCTCTCCCTCCTTCCAATACTCAAACTTAATTCTTCACTTTATTTCACCCAATTGAAAATATAAATTATTAAGATGAAAGTACCATCCTCAAACAAGAACAGATAAGCTTATTAGCTGATATTTCTGCTG